TTAAGCTGGATGTTGTGGTATCATATGCTAGGCTCTCCTGCACCAAACGTCGACCACTGACTTTTGCTAAGAAACCCCAAGCACTTCTTTTACCTCTTGACACTGAACCGTCTGTGTAAATAATCAAATCCTCTGAGCGAGCATTATCTTGAATCAATTGCTGAATTTCCACCTCTGTGGCACCTGCTGGCCAGTCTCTGCATTCTCGGCTCAGTGTGATTATGACCCTACACAAGTCTGACTGTGCAGGTGGCACTTGAACCCACTTCTCTCTTCGCCTAATGTTTTCAAGGATACAAACCTGTCTGATTGTGCAAAGGGTGGTCTGTGTCTGCAGCTACCCTGAGATATGACTTCGCCTGCAGCACCAGTGTCTACCTGCAACAGTGGGCAAACCAAGGATGTATCGCACACACACCACTGGCATGTTTCTGGTCCAACCCAGAATGACCCGCATAGTTGCGTACTGTATGCGCTCTAGTTTGTCCATCTGACTCTTTGAGACGGTAAGCAGTCCCAGGCCATAATCAACCACTGACAGGCTCAGGTGCTGATATAGTGTGAAAAGCATTCTCTGCTCTCTGTCAATTGCAGCCATAGTCTTAAGTGCACTAAGTCCTTTTTGGCATCTTGTTACAACACTATCCACATGGTCATTAAAGGACAGGCTCCTGTCAAATGTAATGAATGCATGCTGGAGAACACTGGGCGAGCACTGGGCCAGGTGACATAGAGTGGCCAGCGGGTGCTAAGGAGGTGGAAGTCCAACAGTTGATTCCCGACAATTCACGCCCAGGTGATCTGATTATCTATACAGATGGTTCGGTGTTGAGAGGAAAGAGAAGTGCCTGGGAGTTCGCAGCTAAAGCCAATGGAAAATCTATAGTGCAAGACAGCCTAGCATACAACATCACAACATCTAACATGAGAATGGAGGTGGAGGCGGTAACTTCAGCTCTCCGGTGGCTAGAGAACAAGATGCACACACGTCATAATTGTAACAGACTCTGAAAGCATGTTGAGAAAGGTGAGGACAGGGTTGCTTCGAGCAGAGTGGGGAGCTTCACTGGGAAGGTCACGGGTAGTGAGCATACTTTAGATCTTTTCTCCAGGCTCACGACTGTTCTCCCCCCCCCCCCCACCCCCAAGTTTATTGTCATGTTTTAGGCACTTGTGGTTTAGTAAATTGGCTACTGTAGTAAATTGCTGTTTAAAAATATAATCTGATTGCATGGATATTGCGAAATCGTTTAGATATCTATTTACTTTACATTTCCCTTATGACTACTTCACCCCCCCCTTTCCCATCGCTTCGTAACACTACTTATAAACGTCATTAACCAGGCTTCGTCGTTTAAATTGATTCCAAAAGGTCTCGCTAGCTAAAAAGGTTGGGAACTGCTGATTGAAACAATGTGAACAGACGGATGATAAACCACAACCAACCACACATACGCAACCCCAGCAGAGCGCAAGCGCCCCGCCAACAGAGCCACACAGCGCCCCGCCACCACAACCACTGCGCCCTATGTGTAGTAGTCTTCAGTGAGTACCCCGTATGTGTGTACGCCCGGTGATCTCGGTCTACTTGCCTCCACTCGGCGAACTAGCGTCCCAGGCGTCTATTTGCCGCGCACCGCCCACCTGACATTCAACTTGTGGCTTCCATTCGTGGGCAGGCAGGCAGACGGCAGAGCTAACGGAACGCTACCATGGGAGAAAGTAGAGGTATGTCTGCAAATGTTTCTGTTTCTCATGTTTTCAGCGTTTACTGTTTAATTTAAACGCATCTGCACTTATCAGTAAAACAGTTCTGATCGTAGCTACGACGCCTATCTTATGCAAGCAAACTCCCGTGTTATCTCTGGCATTCGCATTTTTTGTGTGTATTAAAAAAAAAAAGAACACACATCTTGTTTCGCCCCTCCAGAGGATGGCACACTCAGTAGTAGGATTTATTTCATTTAACATTCCACGGGTGAGAATCAAACACTTACAAGTCCCAGCAATCTTTTTGGAACTACAACACTGTTGTATTGGGGTACCCAACGGTTACTTCACCCCGCAATTGAAAGTGGGTGGTTTTAAAAAAAAATTTGATTTATCTTATCTTATCTGAGAAATCCAGATTCCAGGTTTAGGAGTTGTGAATTTCTCTCTATGACCACGAATGGAATGCTTTTCCGTTCGTGACCCTAGTTTTGAAAGATTCTTAAGTTTTCCTCTATGCTGATGTTACAAAAAAAAGGGAGAGAGGCAACCGCCCCTTTTAAAGATGTGGCAAAGTACGATGATTGATTGCCACATGGTTCTTTCTACCCAATCCCTCTAACCAAAGCTGCTGTTTCATAACCTGTATTGCAACCCACTATCACAGCCTGTGCTATTTATATGTTACTCTCTTCTCTCATTCTAATGTTATTGAATTGGGGCAACTTCAATGGCTGGTAAATCTCTGAGATATGTTCTGATTAGTCACCACAATTGTATGTTATGCAATTCCTGTTCAAATCAGGTTTAAGAGGAATAGAAATCCATAGAATCATTACACGTTTTACATCAATTGTATAGTGAGGAATGAAAATAGATTCTGGTTAAGTTTTGACTTCTTCTTTTGTTGTCTTACAGATACCAGGTTGTAGCCCAGTGTCGTTGTTTTCTATATTTGTCTTGCGCTTCTCGGGTGACAGATTTGTTCATCTTTTTTGCAGTTTTCAGCTGCACCATTTATACATCTCTTTCTTGGTCTTACCCTCACCTTCCTCCCAGATTTTCTTCTGTAAAATGTCTCACATGCATTTTGGTCTGGCTGTATTCTCACTAGATGGCCAGACTTTTTAATTCTTTGTTTGTCAGCATAATTGAGATTTGGTATCATTCTGCTATTGCATATAATTATGCCTATTTTTAAAAAAAAAAATCTAAATCTTTACCAGTAGTATTTAACTGTATCTTCTACCAAACTATCCATTCTTTTGTGCTTTAAATTCGTCAGCATTATTGTTAATTAGTAGCCTGAACAGAAGTATTGACACTGGGCTTGTTCCCAGAAATAGCATTGCAACTCCGTCACTACTTAAAGGCCATAAGAACAGAGTGAATGACTACGGAGATTCAGGTCAGTAATATGGATGGATTAACCAAATTTAGACACCTGATATCCTAAGAGGGTAAACAATGCAGTAGACAAATCCCAGTGAATCATGGGGTGAGGAAAAGATGCTGATGTTGAATACACATGCCGAGAAAACATAACAATATAACTAAAATGTCCTTGCACTGGAACCCACATGTTCAAATGAATAAAGCAGACTAAAATAAAAGGGAGAGGGGAAGGGAATTAAAGGAAATGGTTGAAAAGAGGGGAGGCCATGGGGTGAGCTGCATGCATTAGCGAAAGGTTTTTGTTTGTTTTTAGTATCTAGAAGCCATGAGTTGTTAACCCTTAGGCTCGGTATTATTGATATCGCAACCTTTCAGCCTTGATTCCATTGTAAATACCGTAAATCTGGGAGAAAATGAGGCTTTTTCTGCCTACCCCCGGGAGTGAACCCGGACCACAAGGAGTTTGTCACCCGGTCACAGTGCAATCCAGTTTAGCCAACTTCGCTAGAGAGCCGGGCATTAGCGAAAAGTAGGAGGACTAGGGGAGCTGGTTGAGGCCTGTCCTCCATGGGGGGGGGGGGGGGGGGCTCTTAACTGCTAGAGGTAGACAAATCCAGAACACCTAGTTACCCTGGCACCTGAGCAGTTTTACCTGGTGCCGGTAATTGCGAAATGATAGTTTCTGATAAAAAGTGATAGGCTCCTGAGTAATTGTTTGTTTTGTCTACTACAGCTCAAATTTAAATAGTACATGAGCACATTACATAATGGGTGAGATTAACGTGAAGCTGCCTGTCATATGCAACTTGGGTCTCTCCTTAGTGCTCACCAGCTTTCAAAACCTCCAGAAAAGTTCTAGCTGCTCATTCAGCTGGACTTTGGTCTAGTTCCAGAACATAAATTTTGTGTGCAAGTCTATTTTACAAGTCTAGTTTTATTTGAATGCTGACTGTTAGTTTCTCACCTGTCAGGCAGATGCACTCCATGTTCAAAGGAAATAATCCTTAGTCGTCTTCTATTCCCAATGCGGGTTCAGGGGCCTCATTATTGAGGACAAAAAGGACCCACTGCCCTCTAACAAGCATGTCTTAAGAGAAGACTAATCAGGGATGTTTTATTAGAAGTCGGAGTGAGTTTGCTTGAGAGGCAGGCAACATTCTGCATACAAAATAAGACAGATCTGTTAAATGGACGTGCATGCAAAACTCGGGTTCTGGATCAAGACTCAAGTCCAGAAATCTAGTCTCTTCCGTTGTGCCATGTTCCTGTATATGCGATATACGGCTGTGTCTGCAGTGATGTGTCCTCAGAAAGCATAGTTAAATTCCAGTGGTCATATGTGTGCCTGCTCAGTGTTTAATAGGCCAGGATGTGATTATAGTAACAAAAAATATCATTTAGAAGGGTTGTCTAAGACTCCAGTGGCTTCTTGAAAGCCATGATGTCGGTGTCAGATTTTCCTGTAAGCCTCACTGATTGAGGTCACATTCTGAGTCACTCGATACAGTTTTTTTCATGCCCTGGAGAATGTATTTCATAAAATGCTTCGCTCTGTTCATGTTCACCAACAATTATTAAAAATTTGAACAAAAAAGAAACAAACAAAATATTTCACAATTTATTGCCAGACATATTTCGCTGTATATTCTCAGGTGCATATTACAGTAAAAATTAAATAAATTTAGCAAATTACAAATTTAGATGAATATAAAAAAAAAGAAATTATTAGTGGCCTGTGTAATATGGTTATTATTTTATAAGGATTTTTTCAAGGAAATTCATACAGGTTCATGACGTATATTTTTTACTATTCTTGGGTCAAATGGATCTAATGTGTTGATGATAAAATATATTTCTTTGGTTAGTGAGTCTAATGAATTCATTTGTCTCAACAGAGAAGTATGAGGCATTTGTGACCCTTGCTACCAACGACACCTATGCTTTAGGATGTCTTGTGCTGGCAAATTCGCTCCGGAGGGTGGGCACAACAAGACAGCTTGTTGTCATGGTTACACAAGGTGTTTCACCGTCAGTTAGGTATGTCAGTTTTGTTTTTCTTCACTGTGAAGTCTCTCCAGTCACTAACACATTCCTTCTGTAACATATATTCAGTGCAAAGTCTCCTATACTGTTGCTGTGCAGATGTTTCCCCTTAAACTAATATATTTGAGGCTGGTAAATAGTGGCTAAATGTTTGCCTCAGGCCCGAAGATTGTTGGTTCAAATCTGTATCGAGCCAGATTAAAAATATAATAGATAATAATTTCATCTGTCAGTCCCAAAGGACTGTAGTGATGTGCCGCTGGATTTGGGACAAGCATCTGCTGTGACTGTATATTTTGATGCAGGAGTGGCAGTCTCTGCCAGATAGGGTACACACAAAAGTACATACTCCCTCGCTGTGAGGCTGATTTTTCTCTCTGGCGTCTCCTCTCTATAGCTCACTGCGTTTTGTTTCTTTGAAATTGTGACAATCCGTCTTTCACCTTTCTGTCGCCTTAGTAATCAATCTGCAGCTGATTTTTCCCAAGTCTCTGTGCCTATGTTGGTATCTATCAGGTCTCATTTGCATATGTCTTTATAACGTAATTTTGGCCTTCCTGTAGGTCAGCAGTTCTCAACCTGTGGATCGAACGATCCTTTCACATGGGTCGCCAAAGACCATCGGAAAACACATTTCACTGAAGTTACGAAGTGGCAGCGAAAATAACTATGGTTGGGGGTCACCACAACATGAGGAACTGTATTAAAGGGTCACTGCATTAGGAAGGTTGAGAGCCACTGCTGTAGGTCTTTTCCCTGTACCAGTTCACCATACAGATCCTTTGGAATACAGCCATCCTTCATCCGGGAGACCTGTCCTAGCCAGGGCATCTTTGCTCCAGTAGTCAGAACACTGGTGGTATTTTTGCTCTTGTGGGTACACATTCCTTGGAGACAAGGTTTCGCCATGATATATCAAAGGTGTGCCTCATACAGAACATGTGGAAGGTATTCAATCTCTTCTCTTGAGGAGCATATATAGCCCAGGATGCCGTACAGTAGTAGGCTCAACACACAAGACTATTAAACTTTCAGTTTGGTATTAGTCAGCCTTTCTTTTGACCAGACTCTCGTAGTGAGATTTGAAAACATAGCAGAGGCCTTTCCTATGCGTCTACCTATCTCTACATCTAGGGAATGATTGCCAAAGATTCGTGAGCCGAGGTACTCAAACTAATATACAGCCAACAGCTGATGGTCATAACACTAATGTTTGATAGGTGTTCAACATTCCTTCCTGTTCCTTGCGTTTTGTTGAGACTGATTGTTTTCTGCTAATGTGCCTCTCTATAAGTGTGAAATTATGATACTGGTCTTGCAAACCCTGCTGGCTTCCAGGCTTGGATAGGACAAAGGAGCTGTGCAACATGGTCACTGTGGAGCTAGTACCGTATTACTTCTTTTTCTGCCTTCTATCCCACCATGGTGGATAGGCCTTCAAGCAACTCATGCCAAGTCGTTCTTGATTATTGATTGAAGCTCTCCCTGTATCCTCTCCATTTTTTTTTACCTTAGTCTCTAGCTTCCTTCTCTGTGTGATTTTTGGACTTCCTTCCTTCTGTTTTGCCCCTGTGGATTCCAGTGCAAAGACATTCTAATTATATTGTTCTCAGGTTTTCTGAATGTGTGTCATATCCAAGCCAGCATCTTTTCTTCACCTCTTGGTCCACTGGAACTTGTTTAGTTCTGGCCTAAAGCTCAACGTTAATGATTCTATCATACCATTTAATTCCTTCTATTCTGCGCAGGCACTAGTTCATAAATGTTTGTAGTTTGTTAGTAAAGGCCATGTTGTACTTCATGTTTCGGCTCCATACAACAGTACTGGTTTGATATTAGAATTCACAATTTCAAGTTTAGTGTTTTTTTTTACCTCTACAAATGTCCTAGTGCTATGAAATCTCCTCTTGCCTTTTATATTCATATTTTAATATCTCTATCAGTTTCCCCGTCTTTACTTTACTGCCAAAATAGGTGTATGACTCCCAAGACATGGAGTTGTACACCTAAGTACCGGGTCTCTACACCATCTTTACTCCTGCAGATGCAAACTCTTATCAGGTCTTAATGAGTGGAGAGACCTTCAGGTTGCACAGTCAGGGTTGGGGGTCATGCTGAAAAGTTAGAACCTATTGCTTTGATAACAAGACTCAGGACAATCAAACACTAGGGAAGGCAAATCTGAGTAAATGCAGGCTGGAGTCAGTAGACCACAGAGTTCGAGTAACAGTACACAATGACCACCTTTTGTGAGGTCATATATGAATCTTTCTCTTAGTAGAGGATTTTCATAGCTTTATAATTCATTCTTCTTCACTTCTATATAATGGTTCTGTAACTTGTTGATGGCTGTGCCATCTGTTGCAGCAGGGATTTTGATCACAGTGGGAAACTCGTCAGCATAACGACTAGATGCTCACCTGGCAGCCCAAAGGTTTAAGGTTCGAATCCACTTCCAGGCGAATTAAAAAAACCTCAGGGCCATACTGATGTGAAAATAATCCAACTTCTGCAATGATTTAAGTTGAACCGCTGCAGCAGCACTAATCACTACGCCAGCCAGTTACCATATTATGTGGATAGCATACATGACATTATGTTATTCTCCAGTGGTATGTTGCTTTCATTGCAGGAATCAGTTGAATGGAGTCTTTGATGAAACCTTTCTTGTCAACGTCCTTGACAGCAGTGATACCAGTAACCTTGAACTTTTAGGCAGGCCAGATCTCAGTGTGACCTTTACCAAAATCCATTGTTGGAGGCTCACACAATTCAAGAAATGTGTGTTTATGGATGCTGATACTCTAGTAAGTTTCTTGGTTGTGTTTTGTTGTGAACTTGTGTAATCATCATCATCATTTGTGCCGTTGTATGTCACATAAGGCTCACAGTCTAGTCTTTCTTGCTGTTGTATACTGTGAAATCCTTTCAATATCATGGATAAAATCCACTCCAGCACCTTTGGCTTTTGTCATGAATAACATATGTACTTTTGCACCAGTGGTCTTTGTCATGTATAATGTATGTGTTTTTGCGTACTTATTCATTCAGCATCTTTGTTGGTGTGTCCACCTGAACATAAGATAACTAACAGTCATGTTTAATATTTTGGCTTTGCAAACTGAAAAGACCAAATAGGCCCCTTATCGGGCTAAATTTAAAAAAATACAAGTGACACAGCATAGGAACATTTATAGCAGGTTTGATTTTGTTGTTATGAGGTGGATTTGTGAGAACAGGAAGCCATGGACTGTTGCTTGGAGGAGGGAATATGGACAGAGAAGAAAATGATTGCAGTTAGATTAAGAACTGAGCATCTGAAAAGAAACTTATGTGATGGCACCAGTAGTCCTGAAATCCCATGCTTCTAATTGTGGAAGACTTTTCTCAGAGTGGGGAAATCTTGCTAGTCACACTCGCTATCACTGTGGGCTGTGATTGCCATGCCTCTCTTTGGCTCAGCGGAACACTGTCGTATGGAAAGATGGGAAGCTACCAACAACAACTGTTCTGGCGTGCACACATTTGGATCCTCACTGATGCTACAGAGTTCATCTCATGTGCTGAGAATATCTCCTTGAGTGATCCGTCAGAGGGGACTTAAAGCACTTTTTGAGAAATATCTTTGTGCAGTCTTCTTGTTCTTTTTCTTCTTCTTTGTGTTCGCGGGCTGTAAATTCAGGCAGAAAGCTCTGGTTGTTTGTCCACTTCTGGACTTTAATCTTGTTCCAGAGCTTGAGTTTTTGTGTGGACATCTGTTTTACAATCTGGCTTTTTTGTATGCAGACTGTTGGTTCCTTGACCCACATGGCAGTGCACTCCATCTTTGAAGGAAGCCCCTAATAAGTCCACTGTTATGACATGCTTGTTAGGGAGCAGTGGGTCTACTCTTGTTTTTCACCACTTGGGCCCTGGAGCCCGCACAGGGATCCGTATGCAGTGAAATTGATCTTTAACAAAAAGACTTAACTGACCAACTGTTGTTTTCCTTCTCTTTCTATCAGGTTGTACAGAATATAGATGAATTGTTTGATCGAGATGAGCTGTCTGCAGCACCGGATCCAGGCTGGCCAGACTGCTTCAACTCTGGCGTGTTTGTTTATGTACCTTCAGAGGAAACGTACAGAAGCTTGCTATCATTTGCTGTGACATCACAAAGTTTTGATGGTAAGTGAATTGGCTGTCATCTGTGTACATCCTCATTCCTTATTTCACAGCATCAGCAGATTGCAGTATGCAGCATCAGAGTCAATTACAGCAACAGAAATGACAGGCCTGTTTTGACAAAATTGAACAGAAGATAGGTCAGGAGATTAGGAAACATGTGGCTGTAGTACCAGTGGTAGACAACGTTTAGGGGACAGTGTGATTGTAGATTATCTTGTCTTCTTAAGTTTCCGTTGTTACCATGTTTATATCCTAGTGTAGAGTAATGAATTATTTTACCAGAACTAGTTGTTTTGAATTGTATTATAACTCCCTTCTCAGTTCTCTTGGGTAGTGAGACTTTTTTTTTTTTTTTTTTCTATCGAACACCGGCTGTGAATTCCAGTGGAAGGTCCCGGTTAATCGTCCGCTTAGACTTTTGGCTTTCACTTGGACCTGATTTTTGCGTGTACAACCGTTTTTCATTTTCCTGCCTCTTGGGCAGCTGTACGCCGACTTCGAAGGAAGACGTCAGGCCTATTTCTAGGGTGACTGTGGCCATTGTTTTGTGTGGGTCGAGACTTTGCCTGGTTTGTGTGGTGTCCGCCTTGTCTCCTTTGCCGCAGGTATTGCCCCCGGAGTACCCCTTTGGGGCAGCCCCCTGTGAAACAGTTGGCCCTCAAGGGAAGGCAGGGGCAGATCATGGGCATTCCCCGCCATCCAAGGAGGCTTCCATGCATGCAGAGCCGGCACATGGCGCTCTGGTTCTGGGCTCACCCAAGGAATCGTCACGTCCTGCACATGCCTGCTTAACCTCACAACCGTATCAGGCCTTCCGCTCGACAGGGGCTGCGCCCTCTGGAAGTCAGCGGGGAGCAGCCCGTTGGTTTTGGACTTTTGTGACCACACAGATAGGTACATTAGCCCGACAGAATTTCACATCCTGAATCAGGCATATCGTTATCAGTTTTGTCCCAACACTCGGGCGAGTGGGGTCTTTGGGTGTGGACATTCGGCCTTTTTCAGTTCAGTGCAAATTTTTGATGGTCAGATTTTGATCCGTATGATCTAGTTTTGTCGGACATTTAGGCTTAGCCATCCGATGGATGGTTGCTGTTGTGGTGTACCACAGCGCGGTGACGACGACACTGAGGGTTAACCTTGGATGTACGTGACTGGCCAGCCTATGGATGGTTGCTGTTGTGGTGCACCTCAGCACGGTGACAACGACACTGAGGGCCAACCTAGGATGCACAAGGATGGCCAGCCCATGTGTGGTTGCTGTTGTGGTGCACCTCAGCGCGGTGACGACGACACTGAGAATTAACCGAGGATGAGCATTGAGCAATGTTCTCTTTACTCCGCAGTCTTTTAACCAAGGGTTGTAATTTTAGCTGTACTTTTGTCTAACCTACTCATGTTCCTAATGAGTTTTGATAACATTTTTCACCCAAGCGTTTGGGGGCGGGCTGATGAGAGCCACAAGGACACGTCACCTCTGGGGGCCGCCAAACTCCGAGATCCCCTGACAGCTCTGTTAATGCTCATTTGAGACATTATTCGTGGCGCACGACGAGGACGTGCTGTAGGGGTCTTGTGTGAGGTTCCGTACAACCAGGATAGTAAAGGACTGGCGCCCGAGTGACGTACGGAGTATCTCCTTATACACATCATGTTGGACTTAACTTCCCCTCACGCCTGTGACATAAATCACCGCGCCACTCGTGAGACTAAATATCTAGCTTTCTTGGATAAGAAAAAAGCCAAAGAACTCATACATAAGTTCTGCTAGTTAAACTCATGCAGCAAAAAGAAATAACAAAAAGTAGGTCATAAGGCTGTAAGGAAACTTATAGGTAAGGAAACCTACCTTTGGACAGGATCTTGGTACTTAAAGTCTGTCCAAGGAAATAAACTACACAGTTGTATGTCTAAAGAGGTGTATAACAAGATGACACGTAGCCTTTGAAAAAGGAATAATGATGAGGGCTAAATTGCCAAAACACAAATGACTAATTTTGTAAGAAGACTGTTGCAAGAAAATGTCCCCCCCTCCCCTTTTTTTCCACCAAAAAAAAAAAAAAAAACCAACACAATACACATCAGAAAGTGTGTATAGGGAGACATCAGTGACATCATCACAAGTGTAATACTCTCACTGTGGCTACATATTCACATGTTGTGAACAGCATATATGTTGCCAGATTTCTGTATTGTGCTGAGACTTAACATAAGTAGTACATCACTTTGAGGGGAATACACGAAGAACAGAAAGTCACATCAGACACATTGCTTTAGGCAGAAAAGGTGATACTTTGTTAATGGTTGTTTTATATGTATATTTTTTGTTTTTTTAATAGCAGATGCAATAAGTAATTAATATATTTAAAATACACAACTAGAAGCCTAGACATTTATTGAGGTCATAAATATGTGTCTGCAGGAGGCGATCAAGGTCTCTTGAACCTGTACTTCAAAGGCTGGGCCACCGAGGATATTGGCAAACATCTGCCGTTTATATACAACGTCGTTTCCCAAGCCTTTTACAGCTACTTGCCAGCATTCAAACAGTGAGTACCTTCATCTTCATCTGGATTTCTTCTTCTGAAACCTTTTGTCTCTCTTGGGAGCATAGGTTCCTAACTAACTCACACCATTCTTCTTCTACTCTTTATCTCTCCTTGGAGCATAGGTTATTTACTCACACCATTCTTCTTCTACTTTTTATCTCTCTTTGGACCATAGCTCCTCAACTAACTTACCAAGCCATTCTATCTTTTGCAATCTCATACACCTACAATATCTTACCAGTAATATTAATCATCAATTTCAACTTCTGCCGTTTGGGATCCATTGTTTGATGGGCAGCAACGGCTCTTGTCATTCCATGTCAGTGTAGAAGCTCTTTAATGTCATCAGTCCGTCTTCTCCCTAGGGTGGCCTCTTGCTTTCACTTCAGATCTTTTCATGTGTACCGCCTGCACTGGTAGTTGTACTAGAGTAATATTAATCACCATCTCTTAATTCTATTCTTTCACCTTTTAGGGATCCTTCTATTTCATTTACCCTGTAGGTTCCAAAGAAAGGACTTTTTGCTTATACTGTTATCAGGTTTTCTGTGTAGCGTAGCAGCTAAACGCTCACCTCTGGGCCCGAAGGTCATGGGTTCAGATCTGCATTTAGTTGGGATTTTTTTTAAAAACTGACCTTGGCTTCCAGGCCAGTCCAGCCTTAAATGGGCACCAGGTAATGGGTGGTAAAGGCTGCCAGTGTGAGGTTGACCACATCAGCGGCAGAATTCGGAGTGGTCTATACAGATATGAGTAGCATCCTATGTCTGATTAAAAAGGTTTAACCCCTCCCACCCCCCCCCCCCCCCCCCCCCCCCCCCCCAATTTTTTTATTTTTTTTGACTTTTCTCATTGAGTGTCCTGTTCAATGCTATCTTTTCTTGAGCTCTGATTTACAGGAATTTGTTCAGTTTTCTCATGAAGCTCAACATTCTGTGATATCATTTTAGTCTGGGACTGGCACTACCATGGTGGTTAATACATGAAACGTATTCAGAATATGCTAAAACAGTAGTGATACACACAGGCAGTTAGGCTCACAAAAACTGAAGGACATACAGGTTAATTTAAGACTTTCATGTTTCTTCTTCTTCTGCATTCATCCTCACAATATTTGTGCCTTTCAGCTCAACACATTTGAATTCAGTAAAACCCTATTTAGTGGCCTTTTACAATCTACTTTTGAGGGCGGCAGCGGGTTTATTCTGTTGTCCCCTAAAATAGCGCCCCAGAAGCCACACAGGTTACTGCCATGTTAAAACATACAGTGAAACTGTGTACTATGTGATTAGTGTATTTTAGTTTCGAGTATTCATTTCTGTGTGCTTTATTATATATAGTGCTGTAATTTATGTGGACATACAGAAAAAACAATTGTATTTACATTATTTACTACCTGTGTGGGTTCTGGGTCCCCAGTGTGGGTTCTGGTTTCCCAGGGTGGGTTCTGGGTCCCCAGTGTGGGGGGGGGGGGGGGGGGGAAACAAGAATAAACCCTCTGCTTCCCTAGAAATCATGTCAGAGGAGTCGACTATGTGGGGGTATCCTTTAAAGTAGGTGTACATCTGCCTGAGAGGTCAGGAACCAAAAGTCTGCATATAGATAAGCCAGATCTGTGAAACAGATGTGCATGCAAAACTCAGCTTCTGAAACTAAAAAGTCTGGAGGTGGACACACACCCAGACCTTCTGCCGAAGTTTACAGCCAGTCAACGTGAAGAAGAAGAAGACATTATTTAAATAATAAATATTTATATACTGAATATATGTTGAAGAAAATAAAGTCATGAAGCTGACTGTTATCTTGCCAGGTTCCGAGACACCATTAAAGTGGTGCACTTTATAGGACCGGTGAAGCCATGGCATCACACTTACAGTGCTTCAACACGGACCGTCAGGGAGCTGCCGGACACTGGGCACAGTCAGGAGTTTCTCCAGTTGTGGTGGAACATCTTCATGCAGGATGTACAGCCCAGCCTTGACCCTCAGCTTGTGAGTATTTGCTTTGCTTTTCTGTTGACAGTTTGAATGCTTTCTTGTGGTAAAATTCTTTTTATTTTAGTTGATTTATTGTTTTAGAAGATATACATTATTAATAGGGCATTATAATTAGGGCTGTACCGAATAGTGATTTTCACTATTCGGCCGAATACGAATAGTGGGACCAACTATTCGGCCGAATACGAATAGTGTATCATCATCATCAGGTACCTTGCCGACTGGCGTATGATATCATGCCTTTCCACAATCTGCGATCTCCTGCAGCATGTATCAGTTTGTGTGCTGACACACCTCCATGCCATGCAACAAGACTGTCAGGAATTTTATATCGTACTCTTCCTCTATCCCTCCTTTCACGGATCTTTCCAGTGGTCACCAAATGTTCCATTTCCCCTCTTCTCATAACATGGTTGAAAAATTACTACTGTCTCCTGATGTCTCCCGCCTTTTTCAAAACCATTGTTCGCTCGGCCGTTCGTTTGATGTAATTTAAACGCACCTTCATATTCTCGTTAGCAATATCTTCAAATTTGATTTGGGGGAATACACCCTGAAAGAACGAAAAATGCATGATCTCTCCCCCCCCCTCTCTCTCTCTCTCTCTCTCTCTCTCACACACACACACACACATGCACACACACACACACACACACTGCGGTTGGCATTTTATGCAGTTTGTACCACGCAACCGGGTCACAGTTCCCCCTGCTACGACAGACTTAGGCAACAGCAACTGTTGTGTTAATGAGAGTTATTTCAGTCCATCACAGTGTATGCAGAAACGGAAATAAGGTAACTACTATTCGTATTCGGCCCGACCTCAACTATTTGGGCGAATACCAAATAGTTATTAGGTCCACTATTCGGCCCCGAAGCGAATACGAAGCGAATATTCGGTACAGCCCTAATGATAATAGAGATCAGGTTTGGTGAGTTTCCAAGCATTCTTCTATTGTCAATCTCTGCAATGTGCATCCTCCTACATTTGTGTGGTATTGCCATAGCCACAACCTTCACGTTTTGTTTGTATTCGTTATATTGTAAAGCTTGCTGATAAACTTTTTGTTCTGTTTTAAATCGTGTCTTGGCATCCACTAACAGTTTAACGGATAATAGGTAGCTGAGCCAGGGTGCAATCATTTGCTTTGTATTCTGTAATATTCTGCAATCTTGAGCTGTCAGTGACTCCTTCAATTTGTTTCCTTCTAGGTCTCCCTCTGCCTTATGGTGTTTTCCATTTTCATGTTATACCCTCTCACTGCCGGCATCTTGGATTAATTTTTACTAGGTGCCAAACCATTTCAGCTTTTGTTTCCTAAGCATCAAAAGAAGAAAAATCAGCCTCAAGCTTGTGACCTAAAAACATTAGACAGTTGGTCATTGTTTGCACTTGGAGTTTCATGTGTTCACCACATGATTATGCATGAGTTATTCACTAAGGCAGACTTCACACGTCTGTAGGAAAGCTGATGTTGAAGATCTTTTATCACATGCATGCACGCGTGTATGCGCACGCACGCACACATACATGCACGCATGTACGTGCACACACACAGTGAGAGAGAGAGAGAGAGAAGTTTGTTTTGAATGTAACACCTAATGCAAGGCAGAAAATACACTTATATATCCAGGAATTATGTGGAAATAACTAGAACTCTGAGATATAACTAGAGTGCATTCATGCTTCTGTTTGTTGATCTATCTTATTGTTTTGCATGTCTCCAGTTGTCCATCTTACATCTGCTCTGATACAACATACTGTGTGTGATATAGGCTAATCTTATACTTTTATATATGGTCAGAACATACCAAAAAATCTGACAAGTTAATGTTTGTCTTCTTGAGTGTGTGTATAATTCACACGTATGAAATAACACAGTTGCAATTTTGTTGGTTTTGTTTGTTGTTCCTGTGTGAAAGTTGGATGTTTCATATGTTTTAAAATAGAACTGCTATTCTAGCATGCACACATTTATGACTGTCTTATTTTCTTTCACGATCGCATGCTTACAGCCAGAGGTAAGCCGTTTGCTTTAAAAAATAATATCCGGTTCAGATTTGTGGGTTATGAGAGATTATATAGCCTGCTTCTCTTTCAGATAGAATATATATATATATATTTTTTTCAAATTGCTTCTGGAGCCATATTGGTGTCCATATTAACCTCGCCACCACCTTCACAGGGAGGCAAGTGTTGGGGTTATACAGTAAAATCTTGTTAACACGAATGCACTTAAGAAGAACACTCGCTTAATATGAACACGATTTTGGATCCAGCAAAGGTATATTATTATTAGTACCCTCTTAGCACATTTTTTAACATAATAAACTATTTATTATTGGGTCCTGTGAAATTTGTGCCAATAAGATTTTACTGTATTTTTATGAATTTACATGGTGTAGATTACATAACTCTGATATTTTCTGCTCTAGTATTACAACTTTTTGTTAATTGCCCTAAATTTATAGCATTTTACTTTAGAAGTGGGAATAAACCCTATGTAGGAATTTTCCTTCTTGTCATCGCCTAATCCTGTTTTGTAGTTCACCAGGGCTGTCTATTAATATCTGTAACATGTTTTTGATTTTCATTCATTTTGTTTATAAGTTTCAATAATAGTATAATGTATTTTTTGTCTTATACTTAAGTAGATAATGTTGTAAATTATGACACTTCAACTATTTCCAACCTAAATATCTTGCATGTGCACATTACCTATCTTCTGTTATCTTTATCATAAAATATAAAAGGTAGGGCAGTGATAATTTAGTGACCTAACTGTACTGTCGTGTGACTGTATTATCAGTTGTAGCGAGTTTATAGGATATCAGAAGTCAGTCACGCCTGTGTGAATTTCTAATATGATTACACCTGTCCACACTATTTGATAACCCAGTTTAAAATAGGGATTGTAGTTCTGTGATTGCAGCATCAAGGGCTCATTTACCCAAACAGTTAGATTCCTGAGTGAGTTTATGGGCTCTATTTCAGGGTGGGGGTGGGGTAGAATATACCTGCTGCTCATTGCCTGTCTCGGCTGCCTCTCTTTCTTCATTCTGAGGACATGTCCAGTCCACCTCCATCTTCTTTTTTATTTTTATTTCTAAATTTACCTCTTCTAAGCCTGTCATTTGTTGTAATAGTAAGAAGAGTAAAATTGATTATATTTCCTGTACATAAAGTTGAATAACATTAGCAAGGGATCACACTCATGACTCGATACAACTTTACATGCCTAGTGTCTGCAATTAAATTTCCTGTACATAAAGTTGAATAACATTAGCAAGGGATCACACTCATGACTCGATACAACTTTACATGCCTAGTGTCTGCAGTTAAATTTCCTGTACATAAAGTTGAATAACATTAGCAAGGGATCCCACTCATGACTCTATACAACTTTACATTCCTAGTATCTGCAATTAAATTTCATGTACATAAAGTCGAATAACATTAGCAAGGGATCCCACTCATGACTCTATACAACTTTACATGCCTAGTGTCTGCAATTACATTTCCTGTACATAAAGTCAAATAACATTAGCAAGGGATCCCACTCATGACTCGATACAACTTTACATTCCTAGTGTCTGCAGTTACATTTCCTGTACATAAAGTCGAATAACATTAGCAAGGGATCCCTCTTCATGACTCGATACAGCTTTACAATTCTAGTGTCTGCAATTACATTTCCTGTACATAAAGTTGAATAGATTAGTGAGGAAATAAACTGGTCGCCACAGATCACAATCCTCTAGTACAACTTCATAACCATCTCTAGGGTAGTACCTGTCATTACATACAGTGTACGTAAAGTTCAAAACACTGCTGTTAAATAGGTCTTACATGTTTTTTTCTTGTTTGAAATTCAGCTCACAAATTGTTGCTAACATTATTTTGCATGGTAATATATAAGTTCTGTTATGTTTTTACAAGTCATCATCTAGTGGAGAAGTAAGAATTGTGGTCCATGTTGTGTCATACAGTTAGTGGCTTCGTGTTTGTGCTTAACACTTTTTCCTTTTAAGTCATCTAACCGAGTTTCATGTTTTTATATTGTACACATCTTCTTTTCTGCTGGCTTAACTCAGTTTACTGCAAGTTAGTCAACAAAAGCATATATGTTCGTATTGCAGTTTAAAAAAATGTATCTTCATTTTTGACTCAGTTTATCGCAGTTCAGTCAGCAGTCAGATTTTTTTATATTGTGTTGTTGTATATTTCTTTGTCTGCTTCTTAACATTTAGTTTACCACTAGAGCAGTCGGGTTTGTTTATGTTGTATGTGTCATTCACGACATCAGCCACAGAGTGCTGACTGTTCTGTAGAAATATGGGATTGGCATCATATGCCTGTGGGAAAGGTTCTTTACATTCTATCTCCAGAGCATACAGATGCCGTGTTAGCGCAGCGGATAGGAGGGTCGCTTTCAAATCTAGCTGTGACTAGCTGCAGCCTCGGTCGGTGTTCGAAACCAGATGGTTCCCGGGGTTCATCCAGCCTCTAGGAAATGGGTACCAGAGTGACAATCTGGGGTAAATGGAGGAACGCGCTGTAGCTACAGAATTACGTGCGGACAGAGACACAGGCGGACAGTTTTGTATCTACTGTCCGTACTGGTGGCTGAGCACTTATGGTTTATAACCGTGTGCAATGATGCTGGTTCATATCTCCAGACTTTACCTTTACCTATCTCCAGAGGCACAGATTTCAGGCATGACCTACTTACTAAAAGCCACATGGGTGGCTTGTTAAATAATGTTAGACTTTTACAGATCATACAGAATGTAAGGCTGCTTCTGTGGCTTAAGGGTTGGGTCTTCATAATTCTGGTATACTGGTTTCAGATGCAGGTAGCTTTGTGCTGATTTTTGACAATAGTATTGAGAGACAGCTGTTCAGAGGCAGAGGCAAACTACTGAATGTCAAATTATCTGGTAGAACCAAACAGCTAAACAATGATGGGGGTCTGAAATATCCTGTACATTCT